GTATTAAGACTTTATTAGCAAAGAAGTATAAAAACTTCTTGCGAACATCTTTTTTGTGTGTGATCAGAGGATCAGTGAAAAGAGTTTCCAATTAGTCTGCTCCGAAAAACTCTTTATATACTTTTCAAATAGCAATAGTTTGTTTTGTTATAATCATAAATAAGAAACAAAAACTTATAGTGCTTTTACATTTTTATTTTTTATTTTTTTTTGTAATAAAAAAAACAAACTTTATTATTTAAAGTGCCAATAAACAAGATCATAATGATGGTAATTGATGGATTATCTTAGAAGAAGTAATAGTAATCCCTAAAGATATTCTTTGAGAAAAGTATAAAGATTTTGTTAGTCAAGAAATCACAAACTTTCTTTTAAAGATCTTTTTTGGTGTATAACTAAAAGATTAGCGGAAAGAGTTTTTAATTATTAGAGGCATTGCATCATATGAAAATTGATTAACGTATACTCTACCCCTTAAATACACGCGTTTATTTTAAATTGTGCAATTATTTTAAACCAATATGCCACGCGAGTTAATTACCATTCAGACAGGACAATGTGGAAACCAAAGCAAGTTTTTAAATAAGATATTATTAATAACCTCACTCAAGTACTTAGATATTATTCTACTAACAATTAATTTTTGTACCATTAGTTGGCCAGGAATTTTGGTCTCAGCTTTGTGCTGAACACGGTATTAGTAAAGATGGTATCTTAGAAGACTTTGCAACAGAAGGCGGAGATCGAAAAGACGTGTTCTTCTATCAGGTCGCGAAAGTTTCATATAATATATGAATTAGCTCATCTAATTTTTGACTCGATAATAACGAACGAATAATTTGATAGGCCGATGATGAACATTATATTCCTAGAGCGTTATTGTTGGATTTAGAACCAAGGGTGAAATTAACGTACTTAGACTTAATATAGAACCTATTTGCGCAATTAATAAGTTTTGTTTTTCAATGTTTAGGTTATCAATAACATATTGGCCTCACCATATTCAAATTTATATAATCCCGAAAATATCTATTTGTCAAAAGATGGTGGTGTTGCCGGTAATATTTGGGCATATGGATTTTCACAAGCTGAAAAAGTTTGTGAAGACATATTTGAAATGATTGATCGCGAAGCTGATGGAAGCGATTCTCTCGAGGTATGCGTATTCCAAATTTCTAAAGATAACTTTTAAAGTAAATTTATCCTTATTTTACCTTGACAGGGATTCATGCTTCTTCATTCTATCGCTGGAGGAACTGGTTCTGGAATGGGGTCCTTTCTTTTGGAGCGACTCAATGATCGATACCCTAAGAAGTTGATTCAAACATACTCCGTATTTCCCAATAACGAAGAAGTTTCAGATGTAGTTGTTCAACCTTATAACAGCATCCTGACTTTAAAGAGACTTACCAATAATGCGGATTGTGTGGTGATTATTTGAGGCGTCGTTGGCGAAATCTCCATTATAAATTATTTTTAATATGATATTTACATTTTAGATCGTATTGGATAATGCAGCTCTGAATAGGATTGCATGTGATCGTCTTCATATTCAAAATCCTACATTTACTCAAACAAATCAATTGGTATGATTGTAGGCTATAGTGAACTGTTAAGTCTCACAAAAGTTTGATAGAAATTATTAATGTTAGGTGTCAACTGTAATGTCAGCGAGTACCACAACACTGCGTTATCCGGGATATATGAATAATGACCTTGTTGGTATGATTGCTTCGTTGATTCCTACACCAAAATGTCATTACTTGATGACAGCCTATACTCCCTTTACAAGTGATCAAGTAGAAAAGGTTTGTGTTGTCTAAACTATGAATTTAGGTTGACTTCTTGTGAAATAAAATTTTCACAATAAAATTTTCTCTACTATTAAGGCAAAATCAATACGTAAGACTACGGTACTTGATGTAATGAGACGGTTACTGCAACCTAAAAATAGAATGGTGTCAACAAATCCATCAAAAAAGAGTTGTTATATTTCGGTGTTGAATATTATCCAAGGGGAGGCGGATCCCACTGATGTAAGTTCACAAACAGATTGATGCGTCTTTTCTCAATGGGTATCTGAAATAGGAGTATAATGTCTACAATCGAGTTAGGTCCATAAATCTTTGCTACGAATTCGTGAACGACGATTGGCTCAATTTATTCCATGGGGTCCAGCAAGTATCCAAGTGGCTATTACTAAAAAATCTCCATATGTTCAAACATCACATCGAGTGAGTGGCTTGATGTTGGCCAATCATACTAGCATCTCATCGGTATGTTATTTTTGAAAATTGAGAAAAATTGACTCGATACTCAACCTTTCTTCTGTTAAAAGTTGTTAAAACGTACTTGCGATCATTATGACCGATTCAGAAGACGTGGCGCATTTTTGGAACAATATAAAAAAGAAGATATGTTTGCTGATAATTTGGATGAGTTCGATGTTGCCAGGTGAGAATTATAAATAACACTGAATGATTTATTTTTTTATTTTGTTAACCAATTTTTTATCGCATAAATACAGAGAAATTGTTCAAGATTTAATCAAAGAATATGAAGCATGTGAAAGTCCAGATTATATTAATTATGTAGGTTACCTGATTGGAAAGCTTCTTTTTATTTATTTATTTTATATTACTCACTTATTTTATTTATACAGGGAAATCAGAATTAAAGTATTATTATTGTATGTTCATCGGTGCTTTTTATTTGCAATGTTTTACAGTAATATAAAAAAAGAACAATTACGAGTGCATGGTCTAGTATCAAAATACTTAAACATTCGTAGTAATGAAGAGATAGAAGCGCGAACAATGATCTATTTTTTATAACTATTTTTAAAATTATTTTTGTAATAAATAAACAATTCAAAACAATAATTTTATTTAATTATAATTAATAATTAAATATCTCATTTAATCTAATTTATTGTTGTTTTAAGAAATATATAGCTTCTTTATTATTATTATTATTATTATATATATTTTTTACTCTCCATCAGGTTAGTTATGTGTGCTTTATTAAACTTTTTAGTAAACTATACATTATTATGTATTGTTAAAGTTAAGTCTTTAACTAATTCACTCATTTTAGTTTATATTAACTCAAAGTGCAACTTTGGAAATGATTTGTCATTTTGTTAGTAGTTTAAGTAAAGACTCTTCCAATTACAATATTAATTTTATTGCCTATAGATTACAACTGCAAATCACTTTTCAAAGCTTTGACCAAGATTAAAACCTAACTATTTCATATTTAACACCTGTTAAAATTTGCATAAAATCTTTATCTTTTGATTGTTCTTTTTCTATTCTTTGTAGGACTTTATATTAGTATTGATTTTTTTGAAAGAATATCTTAGTTAATTTTTTAATTTTATCTCCTTTTCTAATTCACTGTCAATGTTCCTATTTTATAATCTTTTTGCATCATTTATTTTATACTTTCTTTCCGAAATTATCAAAATTTTTTGTACCTATAAAATTCATTTTTTTATCTTTGTTTTTATTCTCTTTTTATAATATTTCAGTTCTATAGTTTTTTTAATTAAGTTGTTTTTTATAAGTTTATTAGAAAGTTTAATATATTTAAATTAATTTTGAAAATATATTCAATTAGTTCATATATTCATTTATCTATCCTATTTAATTTTTCTTTATTTTTTATTTTTTGTTATATTTTTTTTTCTTTAGTTTTTTTTTTTTTTTTTACACTTTATATCAAATCTTGAAATTCATATATAATTGATTTTTATTTTTTTATTCAAATTTCTTGCATTTATTTTATAAAGACTGGATACTTTAAAAATATTTTATAATTTTCTTTTTCTTTGTATTGCAAGCTATATATTTTATCTATTTATAAATATTTGGATTTCTTATTGCCAGTTTTGTTAATATTATTAATTATTTTGATTAAAATTTTTTTTATTGAGAACTTTTTAAGGATATATCTTATATACATATATTTTTCTTAAACCAAATTTTATAAAAAATTTTAATTGTTTTAAATTTATTGATTTTATTTTTTTTTATTTCATTTTAATAAATTTATATATAAACCATTGTCTTATTATTTATTATTTTAATAAATTGTCAAATAAATTATTCAGGATTGCATCTTACTATCCTATTTAAAATTAAATTTTTCTATACAATTATTAAAAGTTTATATATTTACTTAATCAAATTATTTAATATTTTATTAAAAAACTTTTTCTATTGATCCTTTAACAATATATAAAAAAAATGTTTACAAAAAAGTTTTATACTTTTAAGCTAATAAAATCTTGCTACTTTTTTTAAAACATTTTAAAGAATAACTAAAGAATTCATTCTTACTCTCCTTTCTTATTTATATTTCTTTTAAAACAAAAACTTGACTTTTAATAATCAAGAAAAGTCAAAAAATACTTTTTTTTACCTATGACAAGAAAGTTTTAAAAAGAAGAAAAATTAATAGTGAAGTATGAAAAACCTATTGTCTAAAATAAGAATGTAACTAAAGGTATTTTATAATGAATAGATAGGTAAACAAAAGCTTAAACCTGAAAGCTTTTCTTTTCACTGTTGTTTTTTCTTAGAGTTATTTAATTTTCAAAGTTTTTGGAGAATTTTATCTATCTCAACTTGATCCTGAATTTTGCAGTGACATAAAATTGATATAACTTTTACTAAAGGTAATTAATTAATATAAAACATGTCGATAACAAAATGTAAACAAGCTTCTACTGATTATATTATATATTCAATAATATCATTAGTGAAAAAAGAAAAATCAATAGTACAAAACCCTTTACTTCTTCAAATAAAATATAACTGAAGTGAAGAAATCATAAGTTCATTATAATGAACACTAAATTCTCTAGATAGTAAAAAGAGTATTATTTGTTCAAATCAAGATTTTTAACTTTTTATTATTCTAATTAGATAAAGTACATAAATGAAATTATTTCTTTATTCTGATTAAGTTATAAAATTAAAAAGTAGAGAAATATAAAATACCGCTCTTCTTTAGGATAGAGAATGTATTTTTTTAAATGTTATATAATAATATCACAATTGAGATAGACACCAGTAAAATTTCTTTAACTAGGCATACAATAGTTGCTGGAAAATATTAAAAATTATATAATATGACTAAAAAGTTATATAAAAAACTGAAATTTATAATTAGCCATTCTCTTTTGTATAGATGAACACAAAATTAAGATTGAAAGAAAGAAAGTATTAAGCAAGACACTAGATCTGAGTAGATGATAAGTATCTTAGATAATCACAAGAAAATAATTAAGATTGTGAATAAATAAGTTCCTTAGATAATCAAAAAGAAGAAAAATATTTCAGAAGGATTGACTTCTAATGAAAAAAGGTTTTCAGTAAAAATTATTTGAAGAATATAAAGCACTTTTATTTTATTTTATTTTTTATTTTATTTTCATATAGCACATTTATACATTTTTAGATATTCTCCATTTCCTTTTCTTTTTTTTTTTTATAGTTTCTTGAAATCAATTTCTTGGAGAATAAAAAATAGTGACAATATATTAGCAATAATAGATAAATTAGACCTTGGAACAATATTTCACTTTGCAATATTTTTGTTTGAAAACCCTTCTAGTCCACTATATTATTGCCAACATTTTGTCACTGTTGTATATTTGACCAAGTTACTGAAATATAGAAAACTACAAAAGAATGGGTTGAAAAAAGAGAAGAGAGGATATTTAAAAATGTCTAAGTAGACAACAAGAAAATGAAAGAGTAAAAATTGAAAAAAATATTTCTAGCTTTCTCCAAAGACCTGCTTCTCAAGATCTCTTCTCAATAAAAAATACCTGATTAGAATATCCATTTTTTCCTAACTGTCTGAGAAACTTATTCATTCTTAATCTTGATTTTCTTCTTGTATACTATCTGAGGAGACTTATCACCTAGTAGGAACCTTTACTTCCAGGACACACTTGATTCCAACCTTCTTTAAACAATTATTTTTTATCCACTAGCTAGTGATCACAACGGATCGAATCAGATCGAATCGGATCGAATTAGATCAGATTTTAACTAGATTTGATCTGATCTTATTTTTATAAATATGAATCAGATATAGATCTGATTCATTTTAAACTGATTTGATTTGATTAGAAACCATAATAATTTGATCCGATTCAAATCTAAAATGAATCTGATTCAGTTTCAATGCAAAAACAATTTGAAATTAATTTGATACATTTGAATTTGTTTCAAGGAATATTTAACTATAACTACTTTGATTTAACTGATTAAATTAAATATGCTTAAATTAATCTGACT